CTTGGGTCATATAAGGACGTACTAATTCTTATTAGGCCATTTCATAATGGACTTTAGTCTTGATTGAAACTGTCAAGTACGATTAGACTTCATATTTAGGCACAGAAGACAATACAGTGATCAGAACAGATCTGTGAGCTAGAACACAGGTTAATTTTACATTAAAATACTTCTGCTGATCTGAGGAAAATTTAATACTACTACGATAAAAAAAAAGAACTTTTTGCAGCTGAGCTTTCTACCTCAGAATCCATTCTCACGCTGCTAGAAGCAGCCTCTTCCTTAAACTGGCCACGTTGCAAAGAAGAGAGCAGGAATAAAATTGGCTTAGATTGTCACATTTTATCTCCTACTTTGAAAGTGAGAATTTTTGACAGTTGTTAAATATAGACAAGTATTTGATCTGTGGAACATTTTGGGTTGTTGGGGGTTTTTTTGTGTGTTTAGGCTTTGTTTGTTGTGTTGGGTTTTTTTTAAACTCACTGACTAAGTCAATTCAAAAACCCTCATGGGACTGGCTTGACTTTAAGATTGATATTGCAGACCTTCCTGAAAGTCTTTGCGTTGTTGCCCTCTTCATTTCTAACTCAACAAAGCTAGTTAGTTCAGTCACAGGGAACAACCCCAGGTAACACAAATATCACACTCATAAAAAACAAACGTATGTAGTAGCAAGGGTAGATCACAAATTTTCAGGCAAGATCAGAAACTGTATTCTTGTCACGGGAACTCTGAAGATCAGAATGATTTGCAGTGCTTCCAGATTACTCTGTGATTATTGTCCTTTGTCTTCAGCAGTTGCATTCCAATCAGTATTTTTTTTTAAAGTAATTGTAGATACATTCTGCTTTAGACTCAAGTTACATTTTTGCACGAGACACTCACTGCAACTCAGTGTTAGACATCTATCTGTCTATAGACACTGTAATCCTTATTTTCCCACTGCAAGTAGCGCATCTGAGAGAAAGGTGCAGTCACTAATGCCTCCTGTGAATCCAATCCAAACGCCAGCCAAATCCATTCCTTGCTCTGTTTGATGGATTCAAACTCGTATGCTTGCAGGTGTTACTTAACCCTAGACTGTCATGGCCTTTCCTCCCATGGAGATTTCTATAAAAGAAGACAAAGCTTGCATTCTTCAAGGTTTAACATTCATAATTGAAGCAAAACCATGCTGCTGAGAACCTAATTTGAGTACCAGTGTGACCTTGGGAGACAACGGCTGTGAAGGATCCTTCACATTCCAGTTATAAGCTGGTAACTCTTCCCTCTGACTCAGCAAAGCACAATCGACAGCTCCCCAAATAGCCTGATGCAGTTAAAAAAATACCCGAGCTGACAACCTGTTTTGTTACAGGGATGTAGATTTTGTTTCTTCCCACAACTCTCGAGGGAAGGACTGCAAGATGGGCACTGGAGGAGCAAAGTCCCTCCCACTGTAAGAGAAGATCAGGTTCAAGACTACCTGAGGAACCTGAACATGCACAAGTCTATGGGACCTGATGAGATGCATCCCAGAGTCCTGAGGGAATTGGCTGATGTAGCTGCTAAGACACTCACCATGATATTTGAAAAGTCCTGGTGGTCAGGTGAAGGCCCTGAAGACTGGAAAAAGGGAAACATCACACCCATCTTTAAAAAAGGTAGCAAGGAGGATCCTGGGAACTACCAACCTGTCAGCCTCACATCTGTGCCTGGGAAGATCATGGAACAGATCCTCCTAAAAGCTACGCTAAGGCACAAGGAGGACAGGGAGGTGATTTGAGAGAGCCAGCATGGCTTCACCAAGAGCAAGTCTTGCCTGACCAACCTAGTGGCCTTCTATGATGGAGTGACGACATCAGTGGGCAAGGGAAGAGCTATGGATGTCATCTATCTGGACTTCTGTAAGGCCTTTGAGACAGTCCCCCACAACATCCTTCTCTCTAAATTAGAGAGTTATGGATTTGATGGGTGGAGTGTTGGGTGGATGAGGAATTGGTTGGATGGTTCCAGAGGATAGTGGTCAATGGCTCAATGTCCAGATGGAGATCAGTGACGAATGGTGTCCCTCAGGGGTCTGTACTGCAATGAGTACTGTTTAATATCTTCATCAATGACATAGTGGGGTTGAGTGCACCCTCAGCAAATTTGCAGATGCCACCAAGCTGAGTGGTGTGGTTGACACACCTGAGGGACAGGATGCCATCCAGAGGGACCTGGACAAGCTTAAGGAATGGGCCCATGTGAACCTCATGAAGTTCAACAAGGCCAAGTGCAGGGTCCTACACCTGGGTCAGGGCAACCCCTGGTATCAATACAGGATCCCACCTGCAGTACTGCGTCTAGCTCTGGAGCCTGAGGGCCCAGAAAAGACATGGTCCTGTTGGAGCAGGTCCCGAGGAGGCCACAGAAATGATCAGAGGGATGGAACACCTCTCCTGTGAGGACAGGCTGAGAGAGTTGGGGTTGTTCAGCCTGGAGAAGGCTCCGGGGAGACCTTATTGCAGCCTTGCAGTACTTCAAGGGGGCTTAGAAGAAAGATGGGGACAAACTTTTTAGCACAGCCTGTTGCAATAGGACAAGAGGTAATGGTTTTAAACTAAAAGAGGGTAGATTCAGACTAGATAGAAGAAATTTTTCACAATGAGAGTGGTGAAACACTGGCACAGGTTGCCCAGAGAAGTGGTAGATGCCCCATCCCTGGAAACATTCCAGGTCAGGTTCGACGGGGCTCTGAGCAACCTGATCAAATTGAAGATGTCCCTGCTCATTACAGAGGGGTCAGACTAGAAGACATTAAAAGGTCCCTTTCAACCCAAAGATTCTATGATTCTACGAAGTTGGTCTCACACAAGAGAATTTGTTCAGAGAGCTCTTGTGTAAGACAGGGACATATCCTAGTTTCCCAAATTACTGTCTTCAGGAAAGATTCATTCATAAGCAGACCCTCGTAACAGCAGCAGCCTCCAGAAAGCTTATCATCTCTCACACTTTGGGCACTCCCTCAGCTGGCTACCACTTGGACAGCACCTAACTTGCGCTCAGAGAGCAGAGGCATTGCTCTTCTTTCTGAACCCTAGTAGGTAATACCTCTGAAGGATGCCATTGAAGAACCAGGTCACAGGTGGTCCAATCCAAATTCCACACACAACACTGAACACGAGGACAGTGACACTGCCCTGAGAATTGTCAGACAGGGACACCAGGCTTTCATCTTTGAACATGTGACATACAGGCAACTTGTAAGAGATACCACATCCAAGTATCTCCATAGTTATCAACACAGCATCAAGACAGACAAGCATGAGTGAAGGCAGAGTTCACAAATTTGGCCTAATATTTTAAGCTCTTATCAGCATTTTAAGCTCCTCAGGCACACTGTCCCTCAGGCATATTGCCTGACAAGTATTTACTGCTACAGGCTCTCCAAGAAAAATTAATTTTAACAAAAATGGACAGCCATTCTAATCCCAGTGCACTTCATTAACAAGACCAAAGAAGCACTGACAGCTATAGTCAGCAGAAAAAAAGGTAAAACATTAAAAAGTATTTTAAGGTAAAGGCAGAAAAATACTTTTTTTTAGATTTTGAACACAGCCCAAAAAGCAGCATTTCCTACGTGGAAAAACATAGGGATTATGAATGAAGCAGAATATATTTGCATTTCAAGTGACAAACATGAAGTTTAAAAAAAAAAGTATTTTAATTACCAGTAATTAGGAGACATCCTCTTACTTGCTTACTATATTTTGGACTAGCAGCTACTCTAGAGATGAAAGGCAGTTTAATATGTTATTGTGAGTTTTCTTCCTTGCAACACACAAAGGGACATACCATTATTCTATAAATCCAGCAACATAGATACTACACTGTAAATAAAATCTTACAAGTCTTTTGACTATTTAAAAGCCCTGTGCTGCCACACTGTATTATGCAAACAAATTTTATGGAGTTACAGAAAGCTAGCATGCTGGAAATGTTGCCTCATTCCATAGTTTATACTGACTTGCACACTTAAACTGCTAGCTTAAAAAGATTACACAAGTAATCCAGTAAAAACAGTCATGTGTTTATGTGATAATTTAATAGTGTTGTTTAAAGCTGGATTAAGCTGTTGGACCATGAATAAACAACTTTTTGTAACAAACACGCAATCCCAGAAATAGAACTCACCTAAACTATGTTCACACTTAATGAGAATACATTTATTTTCATCTCAATGAAAAGTTGTATGTTCAAGAACAAAATAAAGTATCTTATTAAATGGTTTGCAGAATTTATTAGGTCTTTTTTAATACACTCCATACTTTATCAAGCTAGTTGCATATAAAGTGATCTCCACCATATACATTACAATTTTTGTGCATCATCTAAAAAAAAAAAAAAAATCACCAAAAAGTAGTATTTTACAGGTTACAGTTAACTTTTAATTAACCTAAAAGTGAACCCTTCTATAATTTAAGACACTAACCCGCACATTGCTTCTAACTGCAATATTTAAATTCAGTTTCACAGTAAGCTCAACCTGCATTTCAGTGAAAACATTACTGCAATCTCAACTTTTGAATTTCTATTGTCTCCTGTCTTAACATAGCAAAAAATTAATGTGGTGTTCACTCCAAATAAGGAAAAAGAATATGACAATTCCTTTACAACAAAGCCTGCTCAGAATACAAATGCTTCAATAAAATTAGCAAACTCCTCCAGCAAGATGAATACACCCAAATTTGTGAATGGAAAAAACATTTTAGGTTCTTCTGGATTACTGCTTGAAGCTGCTCATAAAAAACAAAACCAGCAAGCACAATAGGTAAACTAGTATTGGATAATACTTAAAGCAAAGAAAATTAGAAAAAAGCAGATTCTACTTGCAACAAACATTTAAAGATTGTTCTAAATTGGGAAAAGGGATTCACGCAGATAATTAACAAATAGGTTTTTCTGATATCTTCACAGGATGCTAGTTTACTGGCCAGGCACATATATTGTAAATATACAAAGAATCCAGAGTGCTGAAATTTACACAGCACTTAAAGGATTTAACATAACAGAGGTGGGCAGGACACAGAAAAAATATTTAACAACTTATATAAATATATTAAAATCTCAGCAAGAAATGTACTAGCCCATGCACACAAGACAGTAAATTGAAAAAAACATGTAAGACTTGACTTTTCCTTTCAACAGCACTGACACCTGAATTCCAGAAAGTTAACAATTTACAGTATCTTTTAACAGTCTTTCTCCACGCAATCTGTATGTACTGAATCATATCGACATTACACAGCACATGAACAAGCAGCAGATGCATCAAGGGAACAGGAGCTATATGCATCATGTGGCCTGCCCAGTTAGAGGCAAATATCAGAAAAATTGTTTCTGACATAGGCAGAGATACAATCAATATAAGCTAATTGTATACCCGTCATTTAATCCACAGTATGGAATAGGGAAGCTTTAGCTAAAAATTAGGTACCCAGTCTCAAAAGTGACAGAAGCAGAGATTTATCTTTCAAAAACTGGGTCCATTCTGGACTGGCCTTGATGCACATGCAGTACATTTGTTTTCAGAATGTAAGATTAATTGGGAATGTCTGCACTAGTATTTCGATTTCCGTATTTGTGATGGATGATCAGCAATACAACTCCTAAGAAGAAGCATATGGACCCAACAGTGATGTAAGCAATTCCCAGAAAGGGATTTTTGCCTCCCATCCATGAGATGGTGCTTAGGATCATTCTTTTTCGTCCATCAAAACTGTGTACAGGATAATCTGAAAAACATTTAGGAAAACAAGAAGCACGTTTCCAAATGTAGCCTCAGGTGGTCAGGCACATGAAAATTTAGGGTCATTTCACTCAGGTTCCAAATACAAACTGCTGCCTTTGAATACTGGAAGTGCAAACATGAAACATTTAGCTGTTAGGCTAAGACTAATCTGGGCACTGTCAGCTACTCCAAGAAAAATGTCACATTAGGAGATGTTAAACTCTTTTTAAAGAAAGAATAAATGCACAATTTTGTGGGTTTTTGAAAGCAGCTGAATAAATGAGGGATGAGCAGATGAATAAAGTGAGTGAAATTAAATTTTAATTCTTGAATATATCTTAGTATAAAATTTTTCTTTATATTCATTCAGTTTTATATGCATTCCCCACAGTTTTGCAGCAAATTAAAATACTGCAGTAGCTATTTAAAAAAAAAGTGCTTTAGAACTTTTAAGAATTTGGTAACTATGGCAACGCTCCTCCTCTAGTCTCCTGCACTTCTACCTAGTCTTCAGTTTGTCCAAAATAGAATGACCGACCTCGACCTGATCCACACCTCTGGCACTTTTCTGACCTCCAAAGTCAGTCATCCCTTGATTACATATTGTCATTACACCTTGAAGTTAAAGTTCTCAAATCTGTAGGCTACTTCACCTCTGTTCTTACCTTTTTCCTATGCTTTTCTTTTATAGCACCCAAGCAATCTGGTTTCCCTCTCACTGTGAAGCTACTAATTCTATAAAAACTTGCACAGAAGTAAAAGATGGTAATATTCTACCCAATTCCCACTACCAGTTCTCAACCACAGCTCAATACCATCTTTTTTTAGACATGGTAAGAAAGAAAGGCTAGTTCAATTTGAACTTGTACAATTCTATGCACAAGTAATCCAGCTAAGGCCCTTAGCCTCTTTCAAAGGTTTTTCAAAGGATACTGTAGGCAATTTCCAAAGAATATTTTCCAGCCTGTAAGGTAGGCTGTAAGTTATTCTTCCTTTCTATGAGACGATACAGCTTGCGAAATGTTGGCAGAGCAGCAGTACGCATCCACACAATGAAGTCTTCATTGATAAAGCCGTTGTTGTCAGGCTCCATGTCCAGCTCATACACTGGCTTGGGCCAGTTTACAGGTTTTGTTGTGCCTAGGATTAAACAAAAACAGTAACAATAAAGTATTTCAAATACATGACTAAGTAGCACAGTGGCTCATTGTAATACTAGAATGAATTTTGAATACATACTAACAAAAAAACATACTAACTTCTAAACAGTACGAACAGACAGGTTGGCTCACTACTATTGCAAGACACTAGGCTGTTTAAGAACTTTTTATTTTGCAGCTTATATAGTAGTGCATATCCATTTATTCTCTATTCTCATGACAGCACTGTCCATTTGTTTAAACAAATTTGCCTCCCATATATTTATACAGCTAGGAAGCCTTGTCTCAAAACATTACTTGGTGACATAGTTCTCCATTATGATGATAGTTCCTCTGCTTATTTGTTAAGAGTTTCACTACCACTTCCTGGACCACAAGCAAATAAAATTATGTACAATATTTTAGATGATGCCGTACTAATGCTTTTGCTAATTTTATTGGAAATACAATTCTACACTGTGTTAGGGTAAGGTATCTGCTTTTCCAAGGGTAGCATTACATTGGTAACATGTAATTTGGCTATGACTAGGCAAGAAACCCACATCAGGTTAAACCTGAAATTATTACATACCTTGCATAAACACACACACACCTTAGAGCCCTGAGGAAGATTATTTTCAGACATTGGTAGCCAAAGAAAACTTTGGTTTAACAAACTGTATTTAGCCTAACAAATGAGAGACATCAGTCACTTCTAATCACAAAAAAGAATGTTTTTTAGAACATTCTGCACAATCTAGCAGCAGAAACATTGAAATGAAAACTCCACAGGGAGAGTTTGATTAAACAACTGCAATATTTCTTCTAAAGTTAAATCCAAGCATTATAGCAGTTGTATTGGTTTTGGCTGGGATGGAGTTAAATTTCTTCATAGTAGCTTGTGTCCTGCTATGTTTTGGATTTGTGATGAAAACAGTGTTGATAACACACTGATATTTATTTATTGCTCAGCAGTGCTTATGCAGCATCAAGGCCTTTTCTGCTCCTCAGACTGCCCCAACTCAGCAAGAAGGCTAGGGCTGCACAGGAGGTTGGGAGGGGACAGAGCTGGGACAGCTGACCAAAGGGATATTCCATACCATATGACGTCATGCTCCGCTATAAAAACTGGGTGGGTAGAGGTAGGCAGGGGCTGCCATTGCTTGGGGACTTGGTTGGTGATGAGCAATCATCTTCTCCTGCATCACTTTTTTTTCTTGGCTTTTATTTTCCTCTGTCTTTGTTGGTTTTTTGGTGTTTTTTTTTCTTACAACGTTCTTCTTAATAATTAAAGCTGTCTTTATCTCAGCCCACAAGTTTTCTCACTTTTACCCTTCCAATTCTCCCCCTCCCATCCCACTGGGCAAGGGTACTGTTAGTGAACGGCTGCATGGTACTTAGTTGCCAGCTGAGGCTAAACGACAACAGCAATGCACAATTAGGCTTTTTTCAGTATTCAAGGTGGGGAAAAAAATTACCAAAAATTAAAAAAAAAACAAACCCAACAATTATTACTGTAAAGGTAAAAACCAAAACACTTTCATGTGAAATATGCAGCTTTCATTATTTAAAGACAACCTTTCTAGATAGCAGAGTAGTCCTCAGCTTGGATTTCTTCAGAGAAACACGATATTGTTAATTAGGACTTACAGTAAAATGTTGTCAGTGAGGTAAAACTCACTGGAATTAAAAGGTGTTTGAAGTGGTTTGTTTTCTTAGGATTTCACATCTTTTTTTTTTTTTTTTTACCTTGGAAAAGCGCAGTTAAGTTATTTCCATCTCCTGTAGGATTCCTGAACTTTACATTTTTATCTGTCCACCACGCAATACCTTTTTTAATCAAAGTAATACGAGTCTTTGTGTCATTATCAATGCGATATAATTCCAACGTATCTAAAGAGAAAATCAAATTGGAAAACCAGCTGAAGAAACTTTCATTAGACAGACGATCCTTATAGGCAGTGAAACAATTACCTCTAGGAGCAACAAAACAAAAAAACTGTACGAGGCATTTATTACCTCTCTGCCACAATCACAAGCTGGTCTGTAACAATCAATGTATATTAAATAGCAGGATATTATCCATATATGATATCTATGTTTCTACTCCACAGCAGTAATAGCTTCTCACAACAGGTATTCCCATCCTTTGTATGCTATCAGATTAAATTAATTCTCATAGCAATTTTGAAAAAAGCAACAGCAGTGTATTTATTTTATTCTGAACAATGAAAACTTTCCATTCAAAACAAGAAAGGCCATGATGCCTTTACTCAGAATAATTTGCAACACAACACAAAACATACACTAGATCACAAAAACATCTAAGTGATAACTTAAAAGTGTTACCATACCATTAAACATACTGTTGGCAATAGCTCCGCAAGGAGCAATGGGTTTGTCCTCATTTGTGCGGTAAGGCTCACATTCCTTACTTGGATTCTGACAGTTAGAAAGAAAAAGGCAGGTGAGTCTGTGCTAGTTTATCCAAACTAACCTGTTTTTCACTACAGTGAAACTACAGTTTTCACTACAGTACCTCCATGTGCACATCTTAAATGTACCACAAATAATCCTTTCACAAGCCAGGTTATTTACAAACACTTCAGCATTCAACACTAGTTAGCATGATTGATTTTTCTTTTACAAGCAGGAATAAAATCTAAATAAAATATAAATAAAGTCAGAATCCCATTATGGTCATACTAAAAATAAAGCTCCTCTTGGAAGCTATTAGAACTTTTATCTTTTAATAGAAAAAATTTTCCAACATTAACTACTCAAGTATTCTTTTATTAAAGGTTTTTTTTTTTCCAAATATGCATCAGTGTTATACAAAGTAAGACTATAAAAAACTTAAGCATAACATAAAACACAAAAGGTTGCAAGGACTCCAGCAGCATGCCAAAAATGCAAGCCCAAAAAGCCCCACCAAAAACCCTGTGTCAGTCATCAGATGTAGCCTCCTGAAACTCTGAAAGTTTACAGGTAAAAAGGGAGAATCATTCTTGCTGGAGCAAGAATCCAACTGTATTTTCACTCCTTATAAAAATTAGGAAAAGGAGACGTCTGGCCCTAAACATTAGACAGTGTAATGAACAGAATACACAGTACTGATATTTTCTGATATCACTGATGTTCTATATTGAACCAGAGTCTACACAAATGGATGCATTTAGCTGCGATATCCAAACCAAGAGCTAGGTAACAGAGTATTACTTTATACTGAAATAAAAAACTTCAGACAGAATGGATACAGCTACTACTGACAGAAGATCAAGAAGATAGTTTAAAACTATTCGAGTACTGCCCTGCTGTCTGCTTAATGAACTGATTGACATGAAATTTTACAGTATTTTTAGTTATTTTTTGTAAACAAAATATGAATTCCTTATGGTTGCCTTTTGTTATGCAAAAATTCTAGTACCTCATTATTATTAAACTAAATACTCTATGTGGCGATTTATGCAATAGTCAGAAGTTAGTTGCTTATTAATATCCAAGCGTGAATACCTACAAGTAGTGAACTGTTATCTCCATTTAGTTGGCTGTCATCTCGAGATTTCACATAACGACGATGGTTTTGATAGAAGTTGGAAAGTCCGTAATACATGAATACATTGCTCTATAAGAAGCAAGACAGGGCAAGAGGGGTTTTCATTCACACAAAGCTTAAATTTTAACCTCTTAAACGCTGTGTTTACTTTACAGCAACATTCATAAAATAGAAGCTTCAATCCTTTCTTCATGTGAGTACATAAGAGTACTATCCTAACATAAGCTAGAATCCTGAAGTCAAACAGTATAAACATGCCATTAACTATCAGAATTATATTCACCAGCACTGATCCCAACACCTGTCTTGTCCGATGTTAAGCACGGCAGCCTCATTACTTGCATCCAGTTTGTCAGAAAGCACTTATCTGGTATTTTCAATTCTTGTTGAACTGAGGTTTTGTCAATCGTGCAGGAATAGCTGGTCTACTCGCCAGCTATATGACACAAACAGTAAATCTAAATGTGTAAAAAACAAGCATTCCATTTAATGCTGTACATTTCCAGATAGAGGCAGTAAAAATAACGTCATCCCTGAAACGTCATTACTGAAAAAGCACACAAAAATCAGATCCATAATGCTGCACATTTCCAGATAGAGGCATTAAAAATAACGTCATCCCTGTTACTGAAAAAGCACACAAAAATCAGATCCAAGTTCATAGGAAAACTAGGAATAATCCTTCAAAATAGGAAAAAAAAAAGACTTAAGTGATACAGCTTTCCTATTGATTATACAATAAACCATATAAACTGTTCTAATTTCACTTTGCATAGAGGGTAGCATACCTCAAATGAATGTTCCAATGTGAAATTGATGACGCAAGTACAAGGTGGTCTGCTGTCCCAGGACACATTTAAACATTTGTTGCAGGGACTAGAAGGCTCTGTTCCTGTATAGTCAATCTATAACAGGAAAAAAGTCATTAATTTACAATGGGAGAGTAAAGAAAATTTATTAATAAGCCAGAGAGTTGACGTGGCATTTATTTTGGAATCTTATTACACCTCAACTCCAAAAGCCCATTCAGGCCTATTTGATAATCTCAAGAGGTCCCTTCCAACCTAAATGATGTTGTGATTCTGTCTACGTGCTGGATTTCAGCCTCAAACAAATTTAACACCAAGATGGGCCATTACTGCTGGGGGAAAACAAAACAAAAAAAAACAGAACAAAAAACACATACCGAAACACAAACAGCAGATACTCCAGACAACATGATGTTTCCAAACATACACACACTATATGACAAGAAGATCTGAGCTTTTACATGATTTCCAGAGATGCTAAATTCTTAGAAGTGTAGATATTTAATAAAAAAGGTGTGCATTAGAAAATTTGCTTTGCTGACCATTTTTAGCTACCTAATTAGTCAGAAGATTAAAAAAAAAAAAATAATCACTTAATGCCCCAGAACTGTCCTAAAATAGGGAAGATGAAGACACTAACATTGTTTTGCCAGGAATGGTAAAATACCAGTAGATGCACAAGAAAGATGATCAGTGTTAATTTGGCTTATACAATATAATCTCTCTTTTAATAGCATAGCTGAAAAAAAAACCAGTATTTGAAATCTGTACATACAGGCTACCTGGACAGTATGCATAACGTATCTTTAGCAGCCATGAGCTCACCCTACGGCCCAAGCCAACTGAAGTCGCTTGACCACATCAGCTCTCCTTCATGTATAGGTCCACCATGTGAATGGCAGGAAATAATTAAGTTGAGCTCAGCGGGCTAGCTCCAAGTGTAGGATGAGAAAGCTTCCATCTGCCTATAAACTATGTAGTCCTTACACTTACTATGAACTTCCTATTTAGAATTTAAACTCAGATTGGTGCAACATATACCAAGTTATGGCAACAAACTGTTAACAGCAGTATCATTTGAACTACAATGCCTGTACTGTTTTATGAAAGACTGCTGCAAATGGTTTGCCCTGATTTATGCTTGTAGTGAAACGCATTATCAAGAATTAGAATGATTTACGATCTATCCCAATATCCATGTTAAAGTTAGCTAAAACAAACATGCAGTTTCAAGGTTCAGGGAACAACTGAAGCCTGTTTTCCTCTGGATCTTCTTCCAGGTCTCCTGTAATTTCTTTGATATTTATCAAGCTGCAGCCCTTCCCTCAGCACTTTTATTAGTATCTGCTCTGCTGCCAGATTTCTGACAGAGGAGACCTACACCCTAACAAGCCTAGCTGAAACTAGTCAGAAGCTATTAGCTGGCAGAGAGAGAATCACATAATTTTTGCTTCCTTTGCTGAACAAGAGATCAACTTTATGCTGATCTAGAAATAGCACTATTGCAGCCATCCTGTTTAGCTACAGCAGACAGACAGACCACCACCGCTCTCAACAAATAATGCATCTCATTTGTTGAAGGTTAACTTGGTGGGTGTTTTTTTTTTTTCCTGTTAAAGCAACCTTAAACCAGCATTTCCGTTAGAAAGAACTTGAACCTCCGTATCCTGAGCTAGTTCTTCAGTGTGTGGAGAAGTTTAGATGAACAACAAAACTCAAATACTCTAAGGTTGCAAAAGATCTAAAAACTTCACTTTTAAAAATATAATTGACTAAATTCCATGGAGCATGAAATTGATATATATCGAAACAGAACTGTTTTTGACCACTGCTATCAGCTTCAATGCTATCCAAGAGCTTTCCTGTACAGTAACTGCAAACACAAGTGTTTTTTTCTGCATCCACCTTCACAGGTTACATTCAAGAGACAGCTTAACTAAAGGGATAGAGGTATCTGTCTTAATCTCTTGACAACATAAGAAAACCAGGACTTTGAGAACTGAAGGATTGACTTGGAGTCCACGGCAGGAACCTGCCTGACCCAGCATTCTGTCCCCAGGGATCAGCCAGCAGCTGAACATGACAAATCCACAGAGTGAGCCCTTCCCAACAACCCCTGATCTAAGGTCATTGGGTATATCCAAGTGATCCAGCACCAACAGCTCTTCAGGCTGCTGCTATCTTTCTCAGTCGATTTACAGTTTTGCAGTACAGAACCAACGTAACTATTGCATATACATGTTCTCCAAACCATTTATGATTTTGTAGACATCATATGCTGTCGCATATTTATCCTATTCCGCTTGGCCACTTGTATAAAAGCCATCCCCTGACTCTGGTTCGCTTTTGCTATCCATCTCTGTAGGTTTTATTAAGTTTTGTACCATTTTTGAGATGGGGCTACTGGAACTGCACACAACACTGAAATTGTATGCAACAGTAATCTCAATTCTTCCTTCCTAGTGATGCCTTAAAGTCTATTTGGCTTTTTAACTATGATTATGCATTTCACAGCAGCACAGCACACAGTTCTATTTCCTACACAATTAATGTTTTGGATATTCCTCAATTTTTACAACATTTTAATATGCTCTGTCAATGCTTCTTATGCACTGTAAAAAAATTAAAATAATCAGGAAATAAAGAACTCTTTCACCTGTTAATAACAGTGCAAAAAGACACATTTACACAGCTGGTTGTCGTTTTCCACCCAAATGAACTATTTTCATGATAGACCCAAGAAAAATGGCTATTTATACCCTTTGAAACAGTGAGAAAATGCTAGAGAACAACCAACACAAAACCCCTATAATTCTAGTACACTTTAGCTGCTGGAAAGCTTCCACATTCAAATTCAAGAGAATTTATAAAGGAAATCAATGAAAAAGCTACATTTTGCTGCTCAGTCCTTGCACCTGTATGAGAACAGCACAGTTCACAGAGATACTAATGGCTGCAATATCTAGTTCCAGGGAAGGGTGATTTGAACTGTACATAAATATGTATTTCAGGGGCATAAATTATACATCCTATTCAGTTCCAATACACTAAGTTTACAGGCAACTATAATACATATATATGCGCACACACACTTAACAAGTATGCTATTGTCTAGGAGGCGGGTGTAAGTAACTACCACTGCTTCCTCCACCGATAACATTTTTAGAAGAGCTTAGTCACTGCACCTATCTTCTAGATGTCTTGTCTCCCAGAGCTAAATTTACAGCTATTTGTGAATAACATTTGGAGGTTACTAACAAAAGCCAGCATACTAAGCAGGGACATATCTCAGCTAAGCATATAGGTGATAGCAGTGTCTTAAACTGCATCCCTCACTGGTGTTCAGAGCCTAAACGTTGGTCTGTAAAATGCTTCATCTACGTTTTGTTGCTGCAACTGTAGTCTTTTTTGATTTAAACTTCTTTAAAAAAAGAAAGTCAGCTGCCTTTAGAATGATAATCTCACTCACAGAATTTCTGCATTGTAACACTTGATAAAACACGCATGAGGATCTCAGAACAGAACCCACTCTTACCTGCATACCCCGACTCCCTGATCATACTCACAAAAGTCAAGAACTCTATCCCTCCTGTCCTCATGAAAGCCTAATGATGTCACTTGGGAGAGCTTCGCGTGAAGTGGATGATACAAGAGTGAATCCACACAGTAAAACAAACAAACAAATGGAACCCCTTCCAATCTTGAATATCTTGAAATTATAAAGGGTGGAAGGCCAGCACCTGCCAACTGGTTTCCAAATATGAATGGCTACCACTGCTTTATACATGCAATCTGATTGCATAGGGGAGCATCAGTCATGCTCCCAGCTCACCTATGGATTTTTGTACTGCATGTTAGGTGGGAATACCTAGTTTTTGTCTCCTACTGGAATTTATCAAGAGTACATGACTGAGCAGGTAAGCAACAACAGCATATAAAAACTCTGTATATGCATACGGTGGCAATACAGGCACAAGAAGTCGCTTACATTTTTGGACTCATTAAACTCTGATGCATTTCCTGTCCCTATAGATCAAAGCGCAGATCCAGTCATAATAAAAAACAAAAGGAGATATATTTATCCAATTATAGTTACCTTACAATCATTATGATTATCTAAGACCTTGTATTGCTTTACTATAGAAATGGCTATTTTAAATGCAATTGTCAAAAAAAAAAAAAAATCAGAGTTAGCAAGGATATAGTTTTTTTACTTCTCTCCATTGAGTGTCCTGTTGAAAACATGTGATTGTATTTACCTTAAAAATTACTATAACATGAGAATTTAAAAGTCTACATGCTCCTGACAACTTGGCAATATTCTCTAAAGCACCTGTGTCAATTTTCAGATGTTGTGCATACCCTCAAACCATGACAGAAGCAATTGCTTTTCAAAAATATGCTTACATACAACATTTGGACACTGTAAAATACACTTCAGCTTTGTTTTTTTCACTTCTGCTTTTCTCCTTGACTGGAATTTTAGTTCTTAAAATAAAATGAAAGTGAACTTTACACTGGTTTTGTTATAATGTTGTTTGTATTTTAACATAAATACGAAAATATAATACCATTCATTGCTTCGGAATTTCTTTAGTTAATTTGGCTTCATTGCCACATGGCTACCACTAGCCAAGCCACTGTCTTGAACACTACTTATTTGAAAGTGACAGCTTACTCTGATAACTAGGATGATTTGATACACAAAAATTCAAATTCTCCAATATAGCAATCCAACAAAAAACTATGTCTATTTTTTCCTACTATCAATCTTGGCTGTATTAGCTCACTGAAACTAATCATAGCTGTCAAGTTGCTTTTCAAGGTTGTCCCTAAGGCCTTTGGGTTGTATCCTTACAACACAAAGTGACTCTGTTACCAAATGGACCTAACTGTGATATACGTTTTAGTTTTCAGTTAATGCTCAGTAACTTTTCACAGCAGTGGTGTGGTTGATTATCAGATGTAAATGTACAAATAGTATTTTGTAAGTGTAACTAGAAAAAGCCACACTCTTCGATTTTTGTTTCTAAGTTTTCTCTGGATGCCCTGGCCTCCCATAGAGCATCTAAAACGTTAAATGATTAGTGCACATAAGAACGATAGCAACACATTCACCACTGAGTCTTGTTCCAAAACTACAATTAGTTTGGAACATTTTTTAAAGATACATAAACCACTGCCACAAGCTGTCCCAAGTAAATACGATGCACATACTTTCTGTACTACCGAGAACGTAACTTGCATTGGGCTGTGTTGATTAAACACTGGCATTGACTTCCCTGGAAGTTCACTCAGGAGCCCTGGCAAGGCTGACAGGAGGGCTGCAATCTACCCGGAGGACACGCTGTAAGCTCAACGTCTGCTCAGGGTAACTGATGGAGGGTTTGTTAAAGAGCACAAACGTTAAACTGAACCGGGACAGCCAGGGCGAGGTGTCCGCTCATCGCGGAACCCACCTAAGCCACCTCTACGTCCCACCGAGTACCGGCTGGGAGAGGCGGCGGTGGATGTCGCAAGGAGGAGCAGGCCGCCTACGGCT